ATGAGATGTTCCAAAGCTCTGTGAATACATTTACCTGAAACATGTGAAACTCTCTGGAATCATACAAACCGTTCAGTTCTTCAGTCTGAAAGCTGACACTCAGGGTGTTAGAGTAGTTGTTAAAATCTTGAAGTTTTGGTAAATGATTAGACACATTTTTTTTGGATATAATTCTTGATTTTTCTCTGCATGATTGAGTGAGTAAGAGACATTAAGGAGGAAGACAAAATATGAGTTGAACAGTTTTTAAAGAACATGTGTTACTGTTTACAGAGAAAAGGGTCTTCCAAAATGGTCCATGGCATTACAGTAGGTGGACCAGAACTTTTTCATACACCACATTCTAGACTCTAAAATAGTTATTGGGGTTATTTTAAACCCAATAATTACATTTTTGGGTTGACTAAAAACAACTGACGATGCCTTTTCTCATCATGAGTAACATGCAGTATCACCAGTGCACAAAGGTAGGTTGATAAAGGTGGTCCATAGTAAAGAGACAGTTTTCTTTTAGAAGTAATTCTTGTTTGTCCCTGTAAAAAAATGCTTTAAAGAAGTGTCCAGTCAACCCTCCATCCTGCCTCTTGTTAAAGTGTGTGCTCCAGGAGATAGATTATCTGTGTGGACACAGTGATGTTTTAACCTTGGCAAGGAAGGTCACAGCACTTTGCTAAGTGGTGAAGTCCCTTGAAAGCAGCTTCCCATATGTTGATGTATGACAGGCTTTTATTTGAAAGTGATGGCTCTGTTGAGACTGCCGCAGCGCACAGTAGGATTGTTGTGTCACGTTTGATTTTCCATTTCCTTATTTTGACATATCTGATGAAAAGTCTGCACTCAAATTGTATAGCCTGAGGGACTAATAGGAGACAGTGTGGAATTGATGATCCTACATCAATGTTTTTTATATCTGTGTCAATAAGTGGTTATTTTACACAATGTTTTTTTAGTGAGAAAAAAATACCATTAGTGGAAAATGAACTTTTAAAAGACACATTTCATATCAGACATACTTAAAGACAACTGTTACTAAAATTGAGCTTTTACTCTACCAGCCAGATGTGGTTTAAAACCTTCAGTTGATATTTCTTTTACACACAATATTGTCATTATTCTTCATGTATTGTTTTACCCTCTCTCAGACCCAGGCAGCACATGCTTCTTATTTTTTTATAGAGTCATTAAAAGTGCAACAGACTGCAGCTGTAAATGCTGAGTTTCTGCATTCTTAACTGCTTTCATGCATCATTACATAGAAAATCCACTGCAGCAAGCTTGGTCATACCCAAAAAACATGTGAATAATGGATGCCTCCTTTTTATTTTGCCTGAATTGTTTGCTGACTTGATTGCCCACAGAAAGTTGGACCTTGTATATTTTTGGGTGAAATTCTGCTGAATGATAAAATACAATTCTGGGTAAACCTTTTATTTGTATAAATTCTGGATGTTCTTAAAAACACTTCCTGTTACCATTTGTAGATATCATTGGGAAATAATCTTGTGCTCTAAGTGGAAACCATTTCTTGTTCTGCTGCGGTGCAGTGTATCTGTTGCTGCATGCAGGGAGGATTTCACAGCTGCCATCTGCTTACAGCTGCTTTGTCTGATTGGAAGCTCATGCTCGTTTATGACCGTGTACATTAGATCTGAATTTTCTGAGAGCAAACTGGTTTCACGGTTCTTTGTGTAGGGAGAAGGGATGGGATTGTAACATGTGCACAGAGGAAACAATTGAAATATGAATGAAACTGCAAAAATGTGTTAGTCATTTGACATAACCCAGATACGGGATGCATTCTCATTTCAGTTGTAAAGGGAACCTTGGATCTTTGTGAAATATGCCACAGCTAACAATCACAATAATTTTCCTTCAGAATCTGATGTGAGTGATGCAATTCCAATAATATGCATGTTAAGACCACACTTTTGATTTTCTCCTCTGAAAGAAAAGATTTGCAACAATGGTTGTTTAGGAAAACATGTTATTAACATTGACATGAACGCCTTTCTTGTTCAGCCAAAGATTTCAATTGTTGTGGATCTTCACTATAATTAAAATTTGGCCAACTCTCCAACTAATTTTTTAGTGATGGTAAATGGACTAGAGCTTATAAAGCACTTTTCTAGTCTTCCGACTACTCAAAGCGCTTTTACACCACATGTCACACCTACCCATTCACACCCATTCACACACTGATGGTAGTGATCGCTATGTAGTATCATCAGAAGTAACTAATGCCATTCATACACCACCACCAAAGCAGCGGGAGCAATTCAGGGTTAAGTGTCTTGCCCAAGGACACATCAGCCATATTTGCTCAAAAAAAATCAGAATCATCAAACCCTCAACCTTCCGGTTGAGCGGCGACGACTCTACCAACTGAGCCACAGCCGCCCATTGATCGATTGATCTTTTAGGTTTTGGATTTAAAACCAGAACACATACTACATTCCTACAATTCTACAATTCACTTAGCGGACGCTTTTATCCCAACAAGTGAAGAATAGGAACGACCACATTAACAATCCATTTCTCTCCAGCTTGGCAGACACAGCACTTCTGGGGTGGGGTTGGGATCAGGTTGGGCGGGGTGGGGTTGGAAATGGATTGGGTGGGGTGGGGTAATCTGCTGGCAGACTGATGATGCACCTGCTAACTGAACTACCACTAACCTACACAAAATGTAGTTAATGTAACCATTCATTGTAAACTATTTGCTCATATTTGGTGATATTTTCGCTCATCCCTTTGGTCTCATTTTTCTATAGTTAAAAAGACATCGGTTTTCTTTACTGCTTTGTTGTGGAGAAGTGGATGTGTCCTCCAGCAGGTTCTTAACATGCAAGCAAAAGCTGCAGACTTACAGGCTGTTTCCTACACTGTTTCTGCCTAGTGATGGGCTGTTTGATGAATCCATATTGAGTAAATATGTCCAAAGTTATCGTGGTTATCAATGTGAGGTGTATTCTCTTCTTAAGAACCTTTTATAGCCCAGCCATGAACTACACTGTCTTTATTGTAAGATTTGTGCCATGCTGATTCTGAAAAAGTTGACATTGTAAATTTAGACACAGTCTATAAGAATTGCAGTATCATCATTTTTTATTGAATTAGAATTTTTATATTGTTAATTTTTTTAATGAGATTTCAGCTCACAATAAACCCGACCTCCCCTTTACCACTCATTAACCTCATAAGAACAGATTCATGTCTACAAGTTTTAAAAAGTGCTTCTGTACAAGTTTTAAGCTCCATTGACGGATTTTTTGTTTGTTTGTTTGACTTTGATATGTTTGATTGATTTTATTTTGAACATGTAAAAAAAAAAAAAAAAAAAAAAAGAAATGCTGTAATTACAGATATGATGAAAACAAATAAAATATAAACACAACATTACATGCCTTAAACCTATCTAATCCTACCCCCTTTTAACTCAACTATGTAATATAAATAATAGATATTCATTTGTATTAATTATCTAATAGTATATAATGTTAAATAATATGAAATAATTACTTGTATGACAATATCTACTGTGAAACAAAAGTTTAACAAAAGAGTTAAATCTGTTGTCTGCTCATTGTAGTCAAAATTCCTCTTGCACATACTGATCAATATGTTACAGTCTAGTAGCCAGATGTTTGTTTATGCACAAATCAAATTCTTAATTTGCAAATCCATGCTCCTTCACCCTCAAAGGCTGATTAAGTGAAGCTCAAATGTGTTTTGTGCTTTCTGAAATCTTTCATTGTGAGCTTACTTCTGTAGTTTTTGACTGTGAAATGAAGAAATGATCCTCATAATAAAGTCTGCTTTGTCTATGTGTCTATTAAGATGGCTTCACGGGAGACGTAAACAATAGACCATTAACTTTTGATTAACTTTTGTAATTCCCCAATTTCATCAGTTATTTACAGTGTGAGAAAACATGTTAGCAGTTGTCTCCTGATTGGCTGGTGGTGACCGGCTCATTTTCAGCCTGTTTGGCCGTGATCAGTGACCGACCAGTTCTGTGTAATATATCTGATTCTGTGCCGATTTATAGACCTTTCCTGATCGATGTCAACGTATGCAGTTGTTTAGGAAGTACAGCTGTTTGTACACGAGGTCATCATGTTGTCTTTTAATACGCCATGTCATCAACATCAAGTTTCCGCCTCACATGAGAATCAGCTGCTGAAAAACATGAATAACAACTCAGGTCATGCTTTAAGTTGACAACAAAAAGAGGCGGAGCATGAAGAGAGTAGAGGTGTCAGTCTGTAATGTAACCTGGTTCAGTTTACAATTAAGTGTCAGTGTTTCATTATGAACATTTAATGGAAATTCCATTAATAAAAATGTACAAAACTTTTTTTTGCTGTCATTTATAGTTCTTTGAAGAAAAAGAAAATCAGAATTGGTCAAAATGGGAATCAGCAGGTCAGACCTTAACAAAATAAGTAGCAATTGGTGCATATTGCATGATTGTCTAACCCTAATCCTGAACCCTAAAGACACATTATTTAGAAAAAGAAGTTGAAGTTGTAGATCTGCTGCATGGCTCAGAGCTGTTATAAACCTGTCATGAGGGAAGGAGAGCTTGGTAGACCTTGTAGCATTAACTTCAGGAGGCTAAGGTTAGCAATACTATATTTTGAATGCATTACTGCTTAATTAAGACCACATGCTGGATCTCAGAACCACAGCCTATGGTAACATTTAAAGTTATATAAGAGAACCTGACAGTTAAATACAGTAATCCTCTCAAATGCTTCCAAAGTGGAACTGTGGAAATTTAATTGAGTGAGAGCTCTGAATACAAGTGAAGCTGAACCTCCTGTGGCTTTGTAGAAGTGAGTTTCACTTACATCTTACAGTTCCAAACACCATGGGGTTAAAGAAAGCTTCCAATAAGAACTCCGTAGCTCCTGATAAATTAAACGATTTTTTTATCCTCCATTCATGTGACATTCATCAAGACGACTAAAACCTTGTTTTTAAAAATCTTTTTGCAGGTGAACATCTTCGAGTATGTCCCCAGGGAAACACATGTTGCACCCAGGAAATGGAGGACAAATTTGGCCAACAGAGTAAACAGGACTTTGAGAATCTGGTCGATGAAATGAGTCACGAATTGAGGAGCACTTTTGTTTCCCGACACAAAAGATTTGATGGTAAGTCCTTTTTTATACAAGTTAATTCTCCTAATGTGTCTCTTTTATTTCTAACAGTTTCCATGGTCATGGTCAAAATCAAAGGATGGATACAGTATTTGCTTGAAAAGGTTGACTGTTTGTTCTTCTGAAGCTGTCCTCCCTCGTGTGGAGACGAGATGTGGAAATCTCATTAATATGCCTTGGAGTGAAGATCCCTCTTGTTAGATTAGTCAAACATGGTTCCCTGCCCAGCAGATTGGAACTTTGAAAAATAGCATCAAGCCAAACTCTGCATTATTGAGATAGTTTGTTGGTGTGTGATCGTGTCCTATAGCCCGCACTGTGACTCTCTTGACCACTGAGCCTCTGCTTTGGAGGGGGCGGGGCAGATGTTCTCATTACTGAGCCTCTCTCCACTTCTCCCTCTTGGTATCCTCCTCTGTGGAGTCTGCTTCTTCTAGTTACAGTTTAATGAGAAATAATAATCCCTCCAGCTCCAGACATTACACTGTGTGGGATGCAGCAGCTTATCACTGTGGACAATGGTGAGGGGTTATGGAGGTGGAAACGGTCAAGCATGGCCACCTGTCAGCATTGTCTACTCATTTATTAGGACTGCAGCCTGCAGCCATAATCATCAGTGTTAAACCTTTAAAGAATGTCTTCTCTTAAAGTGAACGTGTGGACAAAACTCTTGATGAGACTCCTAAAACAAACGCCTACATCTTGACCCTAGGATAAGATTTAATTTTCTTGAGTTGAAAATGTGATGTTACATCACTTCTGTAGGTGCCTGTAACTTTTACACTTTGCCAAGCTGACGTCAGGAACAAACTGTGTTCATAGCACTCCCTGAAACACTGAATACAAAGTGTCTAAAAGGAGAAATATTGTGAGTACTAAAAACTAAGGTTATGAAATGAGGAAATACTAGAAGACACCAAAAAGTTGAAGCTTTATTTTCAGTTTAAGGAATGTGCTGAGACTTAGTACAAGGTCTTTTTGAAGTCTTATCAAGAAAATCGAAGCATAAGTTGAATTCTTTGGAAAAAAAAGGGAATTGTAGCCCTGACTTTTTGTGCATGAAATGGACTGCTGCATAGAAACAAACTTCCGCTTTCATGAAATCAAAGCTTCATGGAAAAGAAAAGCAAATAAAAAATTTACATTTTAGGCTAGTATCAGAAAAGTTTAGCTCCATTGCAACAGTTGATCTTATGTAAGCATTCTGTTTTTCAAATTTTCTTTTCGATTTCCTTTTTTTTCTCCAGATGCCCTGAGGTAATAGCTTCATATTATGCCTAAACAACCACTTGGACTCAATGATGAACTGATTAGAATTTCATCGTCAAAGATTTCCCTTAGGCCTAACTCAAGAATTCATAAACTTTACCTCATCCTGTTTGTAGAAGGTCCTTAAAAAACACCTTTCCATTATACCCATCCCGTTTGTAATATCTCAGGAATGAGAGGGAATATTATCGAAGTTCACATTAGTTCAATATCCATTTTTTATTGGTGGTCAGAGGTCTTCATGATGTCATCTCCAGCCCACGTTTTCTTGTCATTCTCACCCCATCAGTAACACAGTCATTTTGTCTTCAGGTTGATACTAGTGTATCCACAATTCCACAATTTAAAATTTTGATACGATGCTAGTGGTTAAGTTGAAAGGACCACCGCTGCTCTGTCTTTTGCTTGAGGCGGCTTTTAGTTAAAATATGTCTCCCTTTATTCCCAGAGTATTCAACATATTATATGAAATGAACGCTCTTCAGTTACAGCACGCAACTCTAAACTGATGTACACTGCCCAGAAACTCAGTGTCACATCGCCTGGGTGATATCTGTCTGTTTCTTTTGTTTTTTTCCTGGAAACTTCTTCAGCTGTGATTCCTGGAAGCTTGCATAAATAAATAAGTGATATTTTGATCAGCTGCTAGTGGATGTGAAAAGGAGGACTCCATTGAGGGAGGAGATGGGATTTGTGCAGCAGCACTTAGATGCATGACTCCAGGCACCCCTCTTTCCTCTTGGGGTTTGCTGCCACTCTCCATTATTTCATCACTGTCAAAGCAGAGGCCGTATGCAGGTTTCAGCGCTGCAGCCCTCGGCTGACTCGAGACTTGATGTCTGCTGATGATATTGATTGCAAGATTTCAACCATGTCTTTATATGCTATTAAATAAATGTAGTGTTTGAACTTGTGCTTATTGGTTTCAGCAAGTAAGTGTTACACAAAATGCCTCTTTAGTCTATTAAAAGTTGATTTTCTTTTATATTACATTCTGCAGTGCTCTTAAAGCAACTATTCTTCCTTTGCTTGAATAATTGTACCGGTGTTGATGCTGAATCTGAGCACAAAGATCCAAACAATACACAGTTATTTGTTCCTTGAGATGCTCTTTACCATCTCTTTAGCACCTGGCTCTGGAGTCCCTCCTACACAGACGCGGTGTATGTGTGTATTTTATTTATTCTTTATGCAGAGTTTGTGTTGAGTGTTGCTGGAGCTGACAGTAGCTGGCCAGCCCACACATACTGTATACCTGACACTACAAGCCTGTGTGTCACAGCAAGAGGGCACAGTCTCAACTATTCCAAGACCAGCCGAGCAGAAATACTGAAATATCCACAACAACCTGTGTTATTCAGTACAGCTGTGAGAATGTACGAAGAAGAAAAAAACAGCATTATCTGGAAATATAAAGTTTGACATGCAGCCAAAGTAACTACTATTTAAAAATACACCTTCCCTGTTTGAGAACTTATGTTTCAAAATCCATCATTAGGCTGATTATTACACATGTCGAATGTCCGAGAAGAGTGATTTTTTTTTCTTTTTTTGGTAAACAATAAGTCAATCCCTGTCCCTCCTCTGACCATGAACAACATGGTGCTGTGTAGCAAAACAGAATATTAATGTGTTCACTCCTCCACACTTTGTCTTCTTTGAAGTAACTCACTCACAGGTTGTTATTTCTGTTGAAAAATCTGCTGGCAGTCGTTAAAAACATTTAGCATCTGGCACTAAATAGAAATTAAGATGCATTTTTTTTCCACGACAAAATGCACATAGCCATGATTGACACTAATTTCATACCCAAGCTTAGAAAACAGAAAATAAAACGTGTCATCTCTGTGTTACTGTTGGTTTAATCACAATCAAAAATAAAATGTGGTATGTTTTGATGGTTTACCACAATCCCCTCTTCCTTTTCCCATTATCACAATCCATAAGGTGTGGTGAAACTACATCTGATAGCTGCGCATACAGATATCATTATAAATGTAGACCGAGGGAGAAATCTGTACCTGAAGAAAAAACTGAACATGATGCCTTTTGGACACAAAAAGGTTTGTAAGTTTACGTTGTTCATTTCCAGATTTGACTTGATGGGATTATGTTGTGCTTTTTTAAGCATTCTTCCACTTCAAACACTTCTTGCAGGTGCATTTTGGAACTGCTCAAAAATGTGAGAAGCTTGTTGAATATACATTAAAGTCTATAAATAAAACAAATATGAAGTTCCTTGAGCGATTTGCCAATACTGAAATGCTGCATATAAAACCAAATTTACGCCGTTGTGGTTTTATGCCTTCTCCAACAATTTGAGTTACTGTTTGTATCCAAGAATGTCTTTTCTACTGAATGACGGCGTAAATGTGGCCCAGAGGGGGATGAGTTAAAATGTTGGTATATCATTTATTCCTTTTCCTCTTGTGTAATGAAAGTTGTTTCCTCTCCAGAGCATAACAATGAATGAGAGAATCTTATTTCTTTTTTTTATCTTATTTTTGTATAGCGCCAATTCTTAACAAAATGTATTCACTTTACAAAAAGGGCAGGACCAAACTGTACTTTTGATTGTTAGTATTATTAATTACGGAGACCTCATCCATCAGGAGCTCAACACTTTGACATTTGTCTTCTGAATGTTAAAAGAAAGTTTTGATGTTACAAATGATATTCTATTTAAAGGTAGCCATTGAAAAGCTGATCAAGAAGAGATATGCTCTCACTCGCTGCCTTTGTTAGGTTCCACAGTTCTAAAGAAAACAGTGCTATTCATATGCGGCTGCATTGTGCTGCCAGCTACCAGGTGAGAGAGTGTTTGACTGTCTGAGTGGTGCTATAAAGGGTCTGCTGGCTCAATAAAATCCCTCTTCTGTTAGGAAGTCCTGTAAGAATATCCAGCTGAAGACTGGAAGAGTATGTTGGAGTAGACATTTTACTGTCTCTCTAAACATTGCAGGGTTTTTATATATAAATGCCTGTAGGTGTTGTAATCCCTGTGAGTTGGATGGGCCAACCTCTATGTTTATGGATATACTTGTTGGGGGAAAAATCAGAAATACTTTGAAAGTGTAAGGTATGATAACGAAAGGTAATACAGAAAATGTCATCAGATAACATAACTGAACTTTTTTGCAGAAATCACTGTCTTGACACCATTACCATTATTTTTCTCACATTGTCATAATGCTTTTAACTACCACTGACTCACAAAAGGGAAGCTTCAGGAACTATTACAAGAAAATTGAGACATGAACGGTCAGCCTGTCATGTTCTCTGTATACCAGCAAAGCAATAGCAGCCCTCAGTAGACCAGCACTTCCTGCCAGACCAATAAAACGACCCAGCTTTGATTGACATGGAGAATTAGAAGTACCCTTTTGGCAGCAAAATTGCCACTTACATGTACAAGAATGAGAGTTCAATGAGTCTGCATACCAAGCAAGTGTTCCATGCTTTTTCACTAATGACTGAGTGAGTGATGGGCTCCTTCTGTGATTGGCCGAAGTCCTTCAGGAGAAGACATTGAGAGGCTCTGCTGGAGATAAAAGCTGTTATTTCTGCTGCATGAGGTCCAAACAAGTTCATTTTGTTGTTTACGCAGGGGACATTTATATATAAATTACAGATTGTTTTGAAAAAGTGTTACTGGCAGGTTTGTATTTAACAAGAAAACTTTTGATTAATCATCAGTAAATTCATTGTCTTTCTGTTGGTGTATT